GGAATAATTGGTGCCTTTCTTTTTTTTAAAGAGCGCCACATACGGTGAGATTAGTAAACATCATTGTTATTGTTCCAGCTGACCTCAAATCATACTGGCGCGTGCGAGCAGCATTCTGCAGGCAGCCATCAAACCGTGAGCACGGTGTGAAAACAAGGTATGGTTATGATGAACTGCATCGAGAGTAAACTGTCCAGCCTTTTCCATCGGCATGGACGTTTACTCGGAAAATATCCACTACCGTACGTGTTGTGGCCAATTATTTTAACAGCGATTTTGGCAGCCGGTATGACATACCTGAAGGACGACTCCGACCGAGCTACCATCTATACACCGGAGCATGGCCCTGCGAAACTCCACCGGGATATCGTTAAAGACCTCTTCCCGATGAACGACGACGGCGAGTTTCTTCCAAGTAGGATCGTGTCTGAGGGTCGAAACGGTCGCTTGATTATAATGGGGAAAAACTGGCGTGGTAACGTGTTGCATGAAGATGTTCTGGATGAGGTGAGACAACTCCACGCCGAAATCTTGAACTTGACGGTAACTATCAACGACGAATCCGTTTCAATACGAGGACATTTGCGGTCGATGGCAAGACAGTTGTATTGAAAATAATATTTTCGGTGTGCTTGATTATATCGCCAGCAAACCGTGGTACGAGCGAGTTCATCTGACTTATCCATTTGCTCCGTCGCCGACTGGGTACCCGGCTTTCATCGGCAATAGTTTGGGTGGCGTGGGAATAATGGGCGACAATGTTGTGAAGTCGGCCAAGGCGATCCAGCTGTTTTATTACCTGCGTTCAGACGACGGACAGGACGACATTCTGGCTAAAGAAATGGGAGGAAGGGTTTATGAATCTCTTGGAGACTTACCACTCCGACAAAATAAGTTTCACCTACTACTCGTCACAATCGCTGGACTCCGAAGTAAATAAAAGCCTCGAACGTCTGGTTCCCCGTTTCGTCGTTACTTGCTGCGCTGTCGTTCTCTTTTCCATCATGTGCTGCTCCTCGTTCGATTGTGTGGTGAGCAAACCGTGGTTGGGTTTACTTGGAGTCTTGACTGCATCTATGGCTATATTATCTGCTGTTGGGTTACTTGGTTTCTGCAAAGTGGACTTCATCAGTGCTGTCGCATCAATGCCATTTCTCATTCTCGGTAAGTCAGTAGCGGCATTCGTCATCTTAGGTCAACAAACTATTGTTTGAGTGTGTGTGTTTCGCAATCTAAGTGGCTGTTAGTATTCAAGGCGGTAAAACACAGCTGCCACGAATTGGCGCGTTGTAGCGTGCATAACGTGGTCCTTGCAGATTTAAAAGTAGTTGGACTAGCGGGAAACTAGCTCTTCTGACCAAAAAGATATATATATCAATACATTTGGCGGATAAATAATTATACTCATAATGTACTACTTTCATTTCGTGAAACTAATACGGTGTCCGTTCTATGTCAAGTTCATCTAAGTTCACCAAGTAATTGTCGATTATTATTCAAATTGATCTGCCAAGCGTAAAGACACCCAGCTGTGACCTCAATTTACGAGTATATATTTGAATATTAAGATTTGTCTTAAATTATGCAAGAGAAAATTCAACATTGAAATAACGAGATTGTTTCTGTTCGTTTCTGCTTATTCAGATAATTTATTTCAAGTGAACGGATTGCTTTGTTTTTTTTGTTTTTTTTCATTTAGCAATTCACTCCTTTGTGTCCCAACTCCCTCACAGTACTGATGTTCAATGAGTGAAAGTTTGTCACCTCTATAACGTCAATTGTATTGTCCTATCGGATTTCTGTTTTGTGATATTCGTTCCGTACTTATAATTCTCTGTTTCATTGTATTTGCCTTTTTCCTATGGAAAATGTGAACAACACGTATAATAAACGGTATAATATGTCCATGGGCGTCTGAATTATTAAACCCCTTTCATCATATATTAATTAAAATTTAAAGCATAACATCTCATTTTCGTAATATAATTATTTCAATGGTAGACCCACTCGCACATTTTTCGTGTTGACCTTAAATTACAGTGATTAGAAATGATCCGTATCAGATCATTCATATGTTACAGACCACCTAATTATATTGGAATGTCCATGAAACCATATGTGAAGTAAATATAGTATCTAGTAAGAGATGAAATGTACACATCTGTAGTTTTTGTGGAAGCCATCATGCAATCGGAGCATCTCAAACTGAGTCTTATTTTGGGAAACTTAGTGCATGAAAGCCGGATTGCTATATTGCGTTCCATGATGACTCAGCTGGAAGCAAGCCAACTAGACTTATCAGTGGTTGGACTAATTGTTATGCAGATTGTCCGTCATTTCTAGACGTTGTGTGACCGCGAACTAAATATGATTATGGAATTAATCCCAAGGTGCCCGGTCTGTTGGTTAGACCATGGAGCTATGTCTAGACATGACAATCCAAAATCTACGATTTACATGCAAATGCCCTTGTACTATTGTATGCTAATTTAATGTATGCCATTACAAGGCTATAAGAACAAGCTATCCATCTTTTCCTTAAAAAAAACACAGAATGCTAAACAGTTAACTAGAAAACGCCACAGTCGCCCATCGGCGTACAAAATGTCAACTGGCGTCAGCAAACCATGTCCACTATTGATGGGAACAATTGCTGTTAATTTTATCAACAAATATTTAATCTATTGACTTTAGTTTCAGTATTTGTTTAGACTTTTCATTTTACGGCTGTCGTCACCCTGCGACTCGTGAAATATTGGGTTATGTTTCCGTTCGAAAATCTCGCGATTCCAATGCTTATTCCAGTTTATATGCGTTGAATGATTCCTTGTGGATTATTAGACCCCGATACCTTTCACTTTCTTTGTTCATAAAAATACAACCGTTTAATATAGAGCCGTAAATTTCTAACAGACTGCTATTGTGTGACAACTAACCTGGCAAGTGAATGTTGTGGATAACCAGGTCAGGAAATTGGCACGTGACCCCGCTACATCTACCACTCAATAGTCGATCGACACGTATCAAATGTTATTAGAAGATTTTGTTACTTGTCGAACACGATTATCACCCCTTCTCGATTCTTTTCAGTCTCAGTGATGATTGAACTAAAATATATGTTTTAATGTATGTTTTTTAGACGTGTTTAAAAATTCAACAGCTTCTGTATAATATACGTGTTTTTTTTTTTTTCGTGCACGTACAGCGAGTGCCGGGAGCGAGTGCTGCCTCGACAATGCACGTAGCATGGAAATTATCTTTACTCCGCCAGGTATATTTACAATTACTGGTTTTGAAACTTCTAATGCCACTGAAAGTTGCAATTTAATATCGACACGTATCGACAGGTCGAGAAAATCATCTTATTAGCACGAAATGTAAATCTCCCACCGTTTCTATGCGATCTGGCGAAGCTCGTGACGTATGTGCGCAGTAGGTCCCGGTAGGTCTGCGCTCTTTTTGTTGAGGTGAACAAACTTTCCCGAAAGCGTGAGTCATCATGTAAAGGGTCAACACACTTTCGACGATGAGAGCGAATATGCCTTGTATTTTAAGGCACCAACTGTGGCTGCCAGAGTTGTATGTATGACGTGTTTGCCAACAATTAATTTTTATTGGTTAAATTATTTTTTTTTAACCGTGAATGAATTATCTGTTATTATATGTCTTATTTAATTTATATCATGTAATAAAATAAATATATTATAAACACAATACTGCCATCTTGTTCCCACATTTTTTTATTAAAAAAAATGTAAACATGGATCATTCCAAAAATAAATGTTTTTTTTTTTTTTTTTTTTTTATATTTTTCAACTATTTTTATTAACATCTGGCAGTTTCAGATTTATTTTAGCTGAACTTCTTTGCTAATATTGAGCTGAAGGAAATGTTATATTCCTCTAAATCCCTTGATTGATCAATAGTGTTGTAATTGCAATGTTTACTTGATTTCAATTTTAAAACTGTCCTGTGTTCTTGTAATCATGTCAAAAAAAAAATTTGACATAAATTTAATTATAATCATATTGTTTTCGTCTTTTTTTTCAGGAATTGGAGTGGATAACATGTTCATCATGGTAGCTGCTTGGAGAAGAACTCCTTCTTATCTGCCTGTAGAAGACCGCATGGCGCAAACATTCAGGGAAGCTGCTATGTCTATCACAATCACCAGTGTCACCGATGTCCTGGCCTTCTGCGTTGGGGCTATCTCTGATTTCCCGGGAGTTAGGATCTTCTGTCTTTACACTGGTTTGGCCATCATCTTTGGATACATCTATCAGATTACTTTTTTTGGTGCGTGTCTCTCCGAATTTGGACGCTTGGAAGCCAAAAATGGTCATTGGGCTACTTGCCAGAGAGTTTTAGCTCCTGATGAAGCACCATCCTCATTATATCGAGTGTTCTGTGCAGGAGGTATCAGTGAATCCAACCCCAAAGGCTCTACTCCGGAGCACATAGTTGCGAAGTTCTTTGGTGATTATTATGGTCCTTTCTTGACCAAGAGCTGGGTGAAAGGACTTGTTGCGTTGACATTTCTCATATACTTAGCCTTCTCAATATGGGGTTGTATTAAAATACAGCGAGGTATTAAATTGAAGAATACTGTTCCTGATGATTCCTATGCTAGCAAGTTCCTCACTTTAGAAGAGGAGTACTATTCCCAGTACGGTTTGCCAGTATCCGTGATTGTCTATCGTCATGCTGAGTATTGGGACAAGCAGGTTCAAAACGAGATTTCCAGAACTTTACAAGAAATTGAAAACACTCAATACTTTCATGATTCTCGGTTCACGCAATCATGGCTTCATGACTATTTGAACTATCTAAACCAGACTGGTCGTAGATCAGATGTTATGGGGCAAGAGACTTTTATTGATGTTCTTCAGGAAGAATTTCTAAATATTCAGGCATTCCAAAGACATAAGGCTGATATACGCTTTGCCAATGGTGCCATCCTCGCTACACGTTTCAGTGTGTTGACAGAAAATGCAGACGATGCTAACAAACAGAGAGAAATGATGGAGAAAGTGAGATCAATTGCCGAAGATTCTCCTATACCCATGATAGCCTTTCATCCAGCTTTTATATTCTATGATCAATACACAGAAATTCTGCCGAGCACACTTCAAACAATGGGTATCGCGGCTGCGTCAATGCTTCTTGTTTCTCTGCTTCTAATACCCCATCCGATATGCTCGTTATGGGTGACATTTTCTGTTTTCTCCATTTCGGTGGGTGTCATAGGCTTCATGACCCACTGGGATATCTCGCTAGATGCGATCTCAATGATTAATATCATTATTTGCATAGGCTTCAGTGTAGATTTCTCAGCACACATTACCTATTCCTTTGTGGTATCGCCAGCAGCTACAAACAATGAACGTGCCATTTCATCATTGCGAGCTCTTGGTATGCCTATTTTACAAGGCGCCATATCTTCGATCCTGGGAGTAGTGGCATTGTGTACCGCCGAGGCCTACACCTTCCGCACGTTTTTCAAAACAAATTTTCTTGCTATCGGGTTCGGAGCATTGTTTGCACTAGTGTTTCTTCCTACGTTTCTCACTTTCTTTGGGCCTAAGGTCCAAGAAAAGGACATCCCCAAAGATGTGAAACAGGCAGTCAAACTTGCGAAGGAACCTATTGTCTCAGTTAAAAACCCTGAAGCTCCACATTGTGAATACATAGTATATTTACCACCAGTAACTGTAGTATGATGAAGACCATTTTAAAAGCCTCTTCAACATACTATCGACACAACATACCCATTTCTATAAATATTTATAAATTTCAGCAGCTGTTGATCCAAACTGCCAACCAGTGTGAGCGCAGTGTGCAAAGACAACAATTAAAAATGTACTATTGTTATTCCATGGATCAATAGAAACCTCTTATTTTATCTTGAATTGTGAAATTTGAGAAATAATTAATGGGAATAGGTTTGTTGTGTCAAGGGTAATTTTAGGATTTATTTCTGCTTGTTATTTTGTTTATTTTTGTTGTTGAAAGCTACATTCTGAAAAACAGTCACAATGTTAGAAAAAGAGTATGATTCATAGGAATGTATAACTACTTCCGGGTTGTGCAGTTTAATCCCTGTTTTTTTTTTTTACTTTATAATTAATCATTCCATACTGTGACTGTAAATCAAGGTGCTCTCGTAAATGTCTGTTATTGTTGTATCATGATGGCTACAGTACCACAGCATGCGAGTATCACTATTCTCCCAATATAGTGGGTGTACCATATATACTCTACAGGAATTGTGTCTTGAATAGAAGTGCACACAATGATATACGGTACATACGATTTATCTTATACTGGATTACATTGGAAATTATTGACTTATTTCGATCGCCACTGTATGCACTACTAATAGTGTAAATACGGAAATAGCTGTATACGTACAAATGTATTGGTTGCAAAGCTTTCCAATTCTGAAAAATTATAAACTTTCCGTTCTGGGCAACTCCTTTTCTCTGAACCAACTTTGAAATAAATGCTGGAATTTTCCAATGAGTTGTTTTTTGCAATAGGATTGCCTGCATAAACTAGCATAGTATGAAACTATGCTCAGTGTTCTGCTCATGACTGGTATGTTTTTGTGTTAAGGTAGAAGCCTACTCATGATTTCAAATACCCAGAATTTATTATTTTTTTAATAAATTGTACTTCCTGGCAATATAAGAATATTGCCTTAAAAAAAGTTGGGGGTCACCAAGTTAATTTTTGAGAAAATCATGGCTGTATTTTAGTAAATAGCGGCCATTTTAGCAGTATTATAGTGCTTTTATCATAGGTTCCTATGGCAGGGATATCATGCCATATCTCAAATTATGGCTGGTAACATATGCTAAAAAAATAATATATTGTTACTGATGGGGTACTTTTTGTTTTCCTGAATTGTTTCAAAAATCTGGGTTTTAAAAAAGCATTGAAGAATGCAATTTTTGTTTAAACATTGCGCTCTATGGAATTGTTCCAAAAATAGCTATTTTTGAAAAATATTACAAGTTTCTCAAAATACGTCACTGTAACACACAATAGAATGCTATTTCATGGTGCCATTGAACAATAGCTTCATGATTTTACATAATAAACCAATGAACACTGTCATGCGATTTATGACCAACTTTCTAAAAAATTATGAGTAGGCTTCTACCTTGAGCATTGTTTACTTCTAAGGCACTTTGGCATTAGTATATTATTATCCCACCCCTCTCAAGTTTATAAGATTTCAGTTTTGTATGTCAGCTGTTTATTTAAATTAAGCCTGTTCACATTCCTGTTTTGCTTATTCTTAGATGTAATTTTGTATGCATATTATTTAATATGTATTTTTTTTGACACGCTCATAAGTTTTATATGTTAAGTCAATGTTGCATTTATTTGCATATCTAGTGTTCAGTAGAATGGTAAGGGTCTGTAATATTTCTGCTATGGGGTGCAGATTTGCAGTTTATTCAGTGAATGTCCGAAGAAATAAATGAGAGACAACCCCAAATATTCAAACTAGGATAAAGTGGTATTGATCATCTTGTATTAATCGTGGAAAATCATGAACATTAGATAAGTAAACTAAAATGTGTGTATAGTTAGTTACTGTAAAAGCATTAATTATTCACTGGGTTTTAATTTCTCTATTTTTGTTGCTAAGTGAAATTCGCTAAATTAAATCCATGTGAACTGTCAAATTCATGAGCTTTAAAGCCAAGTGAAATTGCTCAAAATAATAAAATAGTGAAATTAAATGTCAGTGAAAATGAACGGTTTTACAGTATTTTGATATTTAAGCCAAAATGG